GGCGGGAGCGGGGGGCAGGCGCGCAGGAACAGCCGTCGTCTGCTCTTTTGGCAGAAAGTCCTGGAGCAGAAGGAGGAGTTGGAGCCGGTCTCCGCTGCCCCTGCGGAACAACAGACGCTCTCGCCTTGCTCAGGTCAGGACACGCTGTTTCACGATCATCGCTTTCGCGCGGGGCGAAGGGGTGCGGGTGGCTGCGGGAGACGGGGTGAAAACGGGGGTGTTTGGAGCCGGTCATGTGCGACGGAGGAGGCACAGCCATACAAAGGAAGCGATAGGAACATCCTCAATGGAGGCTCCGGCGCGTTCCTCCGTCGGCGAGGGGTTGCCGGCGCTGGGACTTGGGCAACTCGGTCGCCTGTCGCATCGGCTGGGAACTGCTAACGCTTGTAATGGGGAAAAAATAGGTTTCTGCAGCCGTGGTAGAGATGTTCTTGGGATGTGTAGAGAGGAGGATCACTACTACCTGTAATAAATTTTAATGTAAATTATGGAGAAAATCAAACCAACTCATAAGCAAACCCATCCGTGAGGAGGCATGTGGGTTGTTACAGGGCATTTACCAAAGATGGGAAATGCTGTTTTCGCAGAGCAGTTAATTATTCGAAAGTTAGAGCTGAGTTTTGCTGACATGCCTCTGGGAAGGATTTAAATTAAAAACAAAAACCAAACAAACAAAAAAAAGAAACCCACACAAAAAACCCCAACCGAACAAAAAAGCGCCACCAAAACCCAAACAAAAATCTTTCACAAGTAATTTTTCATGTAGATAATTCCGTTTAAACAGTTCCATGCACGGGATGCTAAAGAAGCCTTTTTTTGGAGAAGGGGAATGAGTGTAACTCAGTGTATTTTAAAGATTTCTTTGAGGTACTTTATGGTGAATGGTCATATATGTTAAAGCAAACAAACAAAAAGAAACCACCCAAACAAACCAAAACCAACCACAACTAATTACCGGTTTTTGTTTCACCTGAAGCTACATTCATGCTACTTTCTAACCTGAAGAGTAAAGTTCTGCAAATCCTCCACAAATAAAGAACGCAACATACTTTTCAAATGCAGGGGCTGGGTGGGAGAGGAGGGAAGGAGACTTGGGGATTGGTTTGTGGGTTTTTTTTCTTGTTTCCTATTACTCGGAACAGATCGGCTTCCCCTGGTTTTGATTGAACTTTGCAAAGTGAGCAGAGCATTCGTTCATCTGTCTGTCCATCTGTCTGTGTAGACGTAAGAGGTTTTATTGTTCTACAGAACGAAGTGGGCAGTAGGACATGGCAGAGGGTAACAGGGAGGAATGGAACAAGGGGGATAACAGATTGAGAATATAACAAGTGCTAGGTCGGGGTTGAAGCTTCTGTACTCTCTACCGGTGCAGTTAACACCTTTTGGTCTCGATAGCTTTTTCTCACGACAGAGATGATGACGGAGAACAACCTGGATCATGCTGTAGGGAATACAGAGGCGGTTCTTTACTGGGGCTGTTGGATGCTGAGGGGCTATCTGGTTTTCTTTGGAACTTGTTATAGCAGAACGAAGGGCAGCCAGCCAGGATGCAGTGACCTTACAGGGTTTTCCTAAATCTCAGTCTGGATAGCTCCCTTGACTCGACCATGTGACAAAGTCTATCATCTCTAAACTGGACAGTCGGCTCGTTGTTCGGATCCTCTTGGAGGTGATCTTGGGAGCAATTATTGTGCATGAGAGTGAGCGTTAGAAATTTCTCCACCATCCTGGTTCCTGCTACATTTTTTTTATTTTTAAAATTAATTTTACTGATTGCTTTGAAGTATTTTAGGTTATTGCTGTGATAAGTGTTGTAATGTTAGTGTATTACAGAACGACCGCAGGAAAACTGTGTGAAAATAGTACTGTCAAGCTCCGAAGAGAGAAAGGGCTCCATGGTGCCAAATGTTGCTTGTGATTTAAAATAAAATCACAGTTGCTGTTGGTTTTCTTATTCAGGTATTTGCTTCACAGAATTCGAATACAGTGAGCAGAGTTTTGAGAAGGTTGCTGAAAACTACAGTTTCCAATAGACGCTGCTGGCATCTCTGTGTGGAGCGACATTATGCTCGTTCGCAGCTTTCCTTCCTTAGCATTTTATGACTTTTTCTGATTGTATCTTTCAGTTCTTGGTTCCATCAGAACATAACTCAAGGGGTGGGTCCACAAGACTTCAGGCTGGCTCTGTTGTAGACAGAACCTGTCTGTGCAGCCTCAAACTGTCCAGTTCTGTATTTGTCACACTTCTTGCCTTTGTCACTGGCATGGGTGTTGGCACTTCTGTTTGCTGACCCAGGCCGGGGGGGCTGATCAGCTAGATCTGTTCTCCAGTCCAGTTAATCATGTGGTCACATAAATGCTGGTGTGTTTGGAGCAGCTAGTGCAATGACGAGGGGGTGGGCAGCGGAGAAGAATGGACATTTCCTTGGCAATATTGCCATCTTTTCCCACCTTAAGTAGTTCCTCGGATCATGTCTATAGTTGCTTCTGTGGTAGTGAAATGATTTTCTGTCTTACCCAGCCATGGCTGTATCTTAAGAAAGCAAAAATTCACCGTTACATTTTTTTAGAAGATCTGTTATACTTTCCCTAGAGCTCAGGTTTGTCCGTTTTGCTCATTTGTTGTATGGGGTTTTGTTGCGCCCTTTGTCCTCCGTGCCCTGCCCCTTCCCCAGATGCTGTGCAGTGGATCTTCCAGTAATTTTCTTGGGCAAGTTTTCCATTGCCCGGTGTACTTCATTATCAGATAAGTTCTCTTGCTCTACTGCCTTGGTGTGTATTTCTGTGAAATGATTACTTCTCTCTGCATTTGCTCCTTCTAAGTTCTTACAAGCTACTAAAGAGACTAAACTTAATATTTTTCAACGTCTTGCTCTAGGCCTAACGATTGTTTTTTATACTCTTCAGATTATCTGTGTTCCTTTTGCACAATGAGATCTGATACTCCACATGTTGGAGGTGATTCACCTCTGTTGCCTGGAGTGATACCTGCACACAGGCAGACAAAAGTTACATTGGTCATTCTCTAGGAGCGTTTGCTTTGCAGGCAACTCTCATGTATTCAGCATTCTCACTCTTGCGTGTCTTCAGCTCCTGCTTCTGGAAGGGCTTTTTCCTTCATTTATCTCTGTTTTTTTCATTGTCTATTCAGTTCCTTTGCATTACTATCTCCTCATAGTCTTATTTGTCCCCCTTGCTTCTCTTGTTTATTTTTGAGCTGTCTGAATCCCTTTGAGTTGTTTCTATTCACTGGTGTTTGTAAACTTCATTCTGTATCACCTACAAGTTTCATTAACATTCCCTTTATTCAGTCTTAGGTTTCTAAGATGTCAGAGGAAACTGGACTGGTAGAGATCCCTGCAGCAATCCAGTAGATGCCCCCTGTACCTTTTGGTTCATTGGTATATATAATTACACTTAGGTTTTGAATCTGCTAATTTTCTAATAATATGATCAATACTCTCCAAAGCCAATTTGAAGTAATTTTTCAGCTATGATTTCCTTGGAGAGTAGTAAATGCTGTTCTAAATCTAAACCTATCACATCATGCACTGTATTCCTTTTTGTTCCCCAACTTCATGGAAATTCTGTTCTACTTTGAAGAAGAATCGAGTTTGTCAAGATTCACAGTAGTTTCTGCTCCTCTCTCCAACTTCCGTCTCATGCCTACCACCACGCTAAATAAAAAGCCAACGTGTTTCTTTGTAGAGCCTTGTAAAAAGTCAAGAATTCGCATGCATGGAGCTCATTAAAAGATCTGAGACTAGAGATTAAGAAGAGTTTTGGGGGGATTTGGAGGTGGAAGGTTTGGTTCTTGTGGTTTTTTTGGTTTTGTTTGGTTTGTTTGGAGCTTTTGGGTGATTTGTGTGGTTTTTGGTGGTGGTGTTTGGTTTTAGGTGGGTTTTATTGTTGTTTTTCCTGCCCCTTGGGTCCTCCTTTTTCTGGAGATGATGCAGTCACTCCCCTTTGTTTTTAACACCATATGAATTAGAGTTTTCCTGCTAGGGAGGGGCAGGTTTTCCAGTTCCTGGTGCCACTGGCTGAGTCACTAGCTCTGTTTTTCTGTTCCATTGTAGGCTTATAATTACCTCCTTCTTACCTTCATTAAAGTATGATTGCCAAAGGGTAGGTGTTTTACTTTGCTGTACTTCTGAAACATGAGTGCCAGTGGCTTTCAGAGCCTAGATGCAAGCCTTTGAAGGATCTGCTTTGCTATTGCCAAAGAGAAAATAAATGAGGGTAGTCCTCGAAGTGCCTCCCTTCAGACAGTATGGTAAGCATTAATGACAGATGTCCAGGCAAAGTCTGATCGCTTGCAACAAGGACTACTTTTAACTGAAGGAGGAAAAGTCAGGAGAGCACTGAGTATGTGTATGCTGAAATGGAAAGGAAGGATTTGCTGATGTATCTTAAGTTCATTTTGCTTGATCCTGCTTCTCCGTAGCTGGTCTTTGAAATAAAGCTCACTGATACCAGATTAGCAGGATTTAGAGAAGTTCTCCTGGTTTGGACATCTTAGGGAAAAGATGAGAGAGGTGTAAAAGGGAGGTTTGCGGAAGATTTTCTCCCAAGTACGTTCACTACTCTTTGACTGATTTTGATAAAAATAAATAAAATCCTATTTATTTCCCTGCCCCCGTTTGTTTGTGAAGGATCTACGAGAAGAGAAGAAAATGACTGTGCAGGAGAAACAATGTAAATGGCTGTTTCTATTCACCCAGTGAGCTAACCGAAAAATAGAGAGGCAGCTGTCTTTTTACCACTCTTTTTGGTCACAGGTTTTGTTTGTAAGAACACATTGTAAAAACTGGAATCAAGTCTGTTGTTGGCTGTGTCCCTTTAAGAACCTAGTTTTGCTTGGCTAGCTGCCCTTGTTCTCCTGTAGATTATTCCAGCAGAAGGTATATAACCTGTTGACCTTCCTGGCGAGAAGGGTCTGGAAGGGCAAAGAGATAAATCAGGGGTTTTTTTTTTGCTTTCCTGTAGTATCTGGGGGCCTGTGTTTTTCAGGTTTTGGCATTTCTTTATCTGCTTGTGGGTTGGGGTTGTTCTTGAAATTTACAGGTTCTCATAATCCCTGTATGTTCAGCAGTTTGGATACGACAATATGTTTATGCCACAATTGAGAGGGAA